AAGTCTACTTAATACTGGGCGTATGATTCGGGTTCGATTCCAGCCGAGCGGGCTAGCTGCGCGGTTGCTTTTTGTAGTTTCCTTGCTATGTACCGTAAATACGAGCTAGTTTCCCTTTCAAAGACCTAGACGTAGGTATCCCTCCCTTTAGACAGACAGCCCTTGTGTGCTGTGTCTTATTCAAATAACCAACCAATTTCACTTTGATATAATTTGTTTATAAAAATACATGCGCAATAAAAAATATACTGAACATGGAATATGAAGAATGCAGCTAACGGGAAACTTAATTATTATGCAATAACACATTTTCTACAAAATACAATAACACATTGCTTATACGAGTAGAAGACTGATTCTTCCCCGAGTAAATGGAAATTCAGGTAAAAGAGAAGACTGCTAAGCGTAATCTGTTCAACATAAAAAATTCACATGTTTATATGATACATTACCAATTTAAAATTAATTTCCATATATTATTGAATATATTTCGGTATTAAAACATACTTATAATTGTGATGCTTCAATTATTCTTGAATATACACGAATAAAACTTAATCAGAACATTCCATAAAAAGCATTATTTGAATTGTCAATGGTCCGAATGAAGGTAATATCTGCGAGAAATATGACCAGCTTGGACAAGAATGTTCTCGAAAGAATCCCAAAAAGTTGTATAAACCCTGCCTGCACGCGGAGTCAATCAGTCAGTGCATTGTCCAGCGAGCTGATCATCAGTCTAGTGTCGAGTTGGTTGTCGAGAGTATCTATGGAATTGTAGCGTGGAGAGTCTCGAGAGTACGTTGAGTTCCGAGAGCGACCGAACAGAGTCGGGAGCAGTACTTTAGTGCTTTGCTGAAGCTGTCTTCACCGTTATAGCCTGATAGCCTGAAGGCTGTGTTGATGATTGTTTCAGCGTGTTTATAGTAGTTTATCGACGATTGTAAACGTGATTTTGGAGCTGTCCTGAGTAAATACTGGCTAAATAAATTGTGTCTGATTCTTCATCAGATGTTTTCGTCAATCACTCCAAATCTACGAACCCGTACAAAAACACAACAATACGTTTCTATAAAAATCAAGAAAAGTAAATTTTTAAATACTTTAAATTTTAAAACATTTCTTTTCCAATTGAAAATTAAAACATTCTTGTCATTATGAAATTTTTTAATTTTGTAAAACATCTGTAAACTAATATATGCAAATTTTTACATAGAAAATAACAAATATTGCTGTCTACTGTCCAGTCTAGAATTTTGTACTCGCTGCGATTTTTTTCCTCTTATTAATATGAATGTATTTCAATGTAGACAACCTATATTTGAATATTTGAATTTTCGATCACACACACACACACACACACACAAAGGGAAAAAAAAAAAAAAAAAAAAAAAAGTAGGGGAAAAAAAAAAAAAAACCCCGGCATTAAGACTTACAGAGCTGGTAGTCTCTGTATTATATTTCGCAATCTCCCTAGCATTATAATATCGCAGATATGGAGGGCTTGCTGTATGGTGCTGTTTTAGTTAAATTTAGACATCTCTATAACAAAACTTGCATGGATTTTCTGTGCGTCGGTATGGTTTCATTAATTATGTGGAACGTAAAATAGTATGCTTACAGATACATCCTGAAGTATATCAGACCTCTTTTAGTAAGGATTGCACTGCAATATGTGTTTTCCTTCCTATGGTTTTACGAACGGAGAAGTCTTTTATATAGCAAGCGAAATATGTGTATTCGTATTTTTATATTGGGCGTTTGTTTGTATATTATTTATGATTAGAAATAAAAAAGTTGTTGCTACGATTAGAATTAATTTAAGATTTTAAAGCATTTTGGGAAGAATTTGTGTTACATAAAAATATCTCGTTCATTAATGGTTCATTTCACTGTGAAATGAATGAACAAATGAGCAAATGTTATTATATCAAGTTGTTTTTGTAGAAGTATTCGTATTTTGTTTCCGATTTTGTTTCTTGCCTAGTTCATTTATACTGCCATTTTCAGCATTACCTGTATAGCCCTCTTTACTGTCTATGAAATTAACATGCCATAAAAAAAGCTTTACAGTCAAGTGCTTTGACTTAATGTTAAAATTAATTTTAACATCTGAAAGATATGCTGTGTTCAAAAGTCAAGACCCCGCATACTTTAAAGTACGGGAGTCAGTACGCGGCGTTTTACTTCAAGGTAAGTGTTTTACTTTCATAAAATTCTGAAGAGATCAATTTATGATGCCTGAATCACATGTAAGAGAAATTACCAAAATCACATACCAGCAGCAAATCTGTAGTATCACTTTAAAAATGAAGACTATGGTTTAAAATTTAGCATATTTATTTCGAAAGTGCATCTCTATTTATTTCGATACATTTTTACTTAATACACAGGTTACTAAATATGTTTTAGAGGAAAACATGAACGGCATACTTGAGATTTCAAATGAGTAAAAAAGTGTGAAAAGACAGGGAGAGCATTCGTAGAAATAATATCTCATATGCGTACTGCCTGTGTAGACGAAATTTCGCCAAGCAACAATTGTGTGAGGAAGACTTTATTGCATCTCTGAGCAACTTTGTTTTCTCCTACAGATGCACCTGATCTCTTGTAGATTCATGATTACAAGTGGAGAATCATTGATATTATCACATAATAAGATTTTCGTTTATACTCGTAAGATAAGGTAAGAGTAAAAAACGTTAGCTCATTCAGAGTGGAAAAGATTTTCACAAGGTTTGCTTATAATTCACCTCGCCCCAAATCGTTTTATCGCATATTTCAGAGTACTAATCGGAGCTTATCTGATGTTCATGATCCCTCATGTGATAAGGATCAAGCACCCTTGGAAATTAGCAGTGATGAGCTAATGAAATGTTGCAGTTTATCAGGACCATGGTTCAATTCTTTCGTTTTGTGATACACACAAATAAAAGGTAGAAAATAAAGGTAGAAATACTCGTATAAGAAACAAAACAGACACATATTATTATAACATCAATTTATAATATTTCTACATAATATATTGTATTATAAATTAAATCACAAATGACTTACTTTTTGCGGAAGTATGCACATCATGAAGAAAAACTTACTACAAGCTAAAATTAACTTAAATTCTAGCTGTGGTTATGTTATATATTAATCAAAATCAAACATTTATTTATATGTATCCATGATTATTTCATTGATAAAAATCTTCGTAATAAAATTATAAATACTAAATTTTCTTACCCTCTTGTGATTGATGGCATTGGCATACAGGAAGTGTTAATCGTATGATCTTGTGTAAAATGGGACTATCCTTTGTAACTAGGATTTCATCATAAAGAATTATCCTTTGAAGTTTAGGCCCTACTTGCGCTATAATTCTAAACAAAGTGTGATCTCACTTTGTGTTTTCAGTGCATTTGACAGTAAGCTTACATACTTCAATTACTGGAAAGGCTTACAGCAATTTCTGCCTACGAATAGATGCGGTTTCAGTTAATCCTACGCAGAAGCGTGTTATTTATTATAAATAAAAATCACGAGTATTATCACAGGCTACTTCAAAGCAATCTTATCGAAAAAATGCATATTATCGTTCGTATAAACAGGCAGTTTAGCAGTGACAAAGAATTTAAGCTGACCAAAACTATTAAATAGTATGCGGAACTTCTTTAGCTTCGCATACTACGAATAAGGCGACTCTACAATGAAAGCTGTTTAACTGACTATTTTTCTATAGATCTAAAGCAGATTTGACAGAGTATGAGTAAGCGCATTCTTACTTAAGTGGATTTGTGTTGGCATAGTGTACTCAAAATTATACCTATTGACGATATCCAATAACAGTTTCTCTTCAATGAAGCTTTCAATGCGTTCCATTTTCACTAAAACTGCAAGTGCATCTGCTTTATAAAATTTTAAATTGAGCCGCACGCCTTAAATAATATAGTATCTTATTAAGCTGTAACGTGTCAATTTTATATTATTTTATTTTATATTAATTTAATTTACAGGAAATTACGCAGGTAGAGAAACTTGCTGTCTAACATTTCATCAATATTTTCTCACAAATTTTGGTGCAGGGTATAGTACCACCATATACTCAATGTAATTCCACACACACTTTATCTTAGTACGTGATAAAAGATTCGTATGCTGATACTGTTACAGAATTAAATAATGGTTACTGTAAAAATTATCAGCAAAATGTAAGAAATGGTTTTATTCAACATCGAATTTTTTCTTCCGTTTACCAATTATTATATATATTAAGCGGCATATTGCCGCATTTGTTTTTGTTTCGTGATAGGAAATGTATTCCTTACACTGTAAAGCATTTGTTATACATTGAGTTGCAAATTTTTCAAGGCTATCGAAATATAGTGAAAAGCATTTGCAGTGTTAGATATTACACTGCTGGTATCACTCAGAATGTTAGCTTGAGCATTAGGAAAACAAACGTTTTGCAGTCATATTATCTTTGAAGAAGTAAATATTTGGTTTGTTAGTGATATTATTTTCATGACGGTTGACAGCGAGAAAGAATGCATTATAGTATCACGAAATTAGGTCTATATCTTCGCGATATTAAGTATGCTATCACAAAGGTAGATAACTTACACATACGTTTCGTAGTATTTATAATATGCATTGTTTGTACGTCTTTTCCATAGTAGCTTAGATTTATGCATACCTTTGCAACACACAAAATATACTCAATACTCTTAAGCCTTAGTATCAGGAAGTTGAATAAGTTTACCTTAATTTCCGCAACGGCATGTACTCTTAGCTTTTGATTCCGTTAATGATTTTTAATTATTTAACAGTTTTATGATGCGACGAAATTCTAAACGAATATACGTATGTCCGTATTGTTAAATACTACCTTAAATTCTCTTGTATGCGCCTGGCATTTTAGACATCAGTGTGGGTTTTAATTACAGTTATTTAAGTTAAAAAAAGGAAAGAAAATACCATGTATATAATATAATATTTAGTTTTATAGTTACCGCTATCGACATCCTTAGAGGACTTTAACTTAGAGCAAACAGTTTCAAGTCCTAGAAGATCGCATTTTGTGTTGTTCACATCCCAAGATAGAAGACCTATGAGAAAAAAAAAGCAAGATTAGATTAGCAATATTAAAAAGAATCTAAAAGGGGAAAATGCTTACTTAGATATAGGTTTAATAAATTATTTTATATAAACAATTATTCCTCTAAATTGACGCAACTTTCTCTTAAGTTAAATTATATGCATTTATTTAATATTTATATGTATTTTTCATATGTTCATATGTGTTTTATATGTATTTTTCATATGTTCATATGTGTTTTATATGTATTTTTCATATTATTATATTCATTTTCCACTATATTTAATATTTATATGCATTTTTCAAAATCATATAGTTTTGCAGATATAGGATTCAAATAAATTTATTTAAGTATATGAAACTTTCTTTATACAAAGTTTTTTTTCTTTGCACTTTCGAAACCGATAATGTGTTTTGTCCTCCAGAGAAATAATATGTTTCAGTTTCGTACATTTATATAAATATGCAGTGGTTCTGGAAAAATTGTTTAAGAAATAAATAAACGGGTATTTCGTGGCATAGAAATCTTCATTATCATCTATGTAACTATTAAAATTATTAGGAAAGTACGTATAAGTACGTATTAATGAAAAAAAAGCATCTCAGCTATAGTTGTACATCCAATGATGAACGTTAAGAAATCTCGCATAATTATATCTTTACTTGTTGAATGCAGATACAAAAAGAAATGACTGCGTTTCGGAGTTTTTTAATTTTTGAACAAGTCTGAGATTTAATACTGCTTGTTACAATTTCATTTCTATTGATATTGAATAATTTAAGACTTTACATTTTCTATAACTATGCATTTTCAACAAATATCGGTGAGACAATCAGTATTTCAGAAAGATCTGTGTCAAAAGCAATGAATGAAACAGTTTTGTCTTTAGAATGAATAGTGAACATTTTCTATTTAAAAAGGGGATTAACAGGTACTAAGAAATAGACTTGTGGGTCTTATACTATATGTGTGTGCACATGTGTATGTTTTAGTTTCAATACATACCGCACAAACAGATTTAAAATATTCTTTGTATAATATTGCATAATAACACTGAATATATATTTGACAACAGGGATATGAATGAGGAATGGATGCAATCACATGCCTTCTATATGCGATATTAACTGTTATATAACAAGTACTGGTTATGGATGCAGTCACATGTCATATTAACTGCTGTATGACAAATATCTGTTATTTTATCAGAAGCACTGTAAAAATTCGTTGATTATTGCATCATAAACTAAAGCAGAATGAGGGAGCATTTATTATATTATCTACACAAAATGTTATTTATATTAATATATATACATTTATATATTATTATATTTTCTGCAAGAGATACGAAGCATAACAAATCGAATTTTTATATTAAATCCATATTTCAAATATCTGAGACAAAACGTGCTAATTTCTTTCGGGAAAACAAAGTACTAAATGCTGCAACTAATCAGCGAAATCTTAAGATTTTGCTAAAAGAAAAAAAAAATACATATGAAATATTAAAAACAGAAGTTTTAAATTTTTTTAATTCCTACATACAGAGTTGCTATTTTATTGCCACAACTGACGCAAATGTTTGGTCTCTGCTAATTAGCTTGCTCATTTGTGGAATTTCCCTTTCCTATTTGGCTTGTTTCACTTCGCTTCTACTGATTCAATAATAAAAAGGAAAAAAGATGCCATTTCTTACCTTTCATCTTTTTACTATGATTATCCCTAGAATTCTTTTCTTGCTGTTTTAGCTCGCTTTTGGCATTTGTTTTTGCTTGTCTGTATAATAAATATTTTCGTATTTTTAGTTTTTTATTTCATTAATTTTTATTTTACATGATGTGCATTAGTATAAAGACTTTTTTTTCAACTAAGTTCCAGAGACTTCCTATACAAAAATGGGAATAAAGAAAAGTGTGCTAACGTATGAAAAAGCTTGGATATGTATTATTTCACGTTATTTGTTCTAGATTTCAGTTTTTGTTTTCCTAAACTATTTTGTTGAATTCATTCTACGTAAAATTCATTTAAGTTTAAAAACTTATACTTTAACCAAATTTCTGGAGTATTTTTTTACATACTTACAGGAGAATACAAAGAAAAGAAAAGAAAAAGAAGAGAAAACACAAATTGCCAGCATCTCTGACTATTTAATCTGCGCAAATATATTTCGTCATTCGTAGTTTTTTCATAAATTTTTAACTAAGCAAACTTTGGTTACTGTCTCTTGATATATCGCAAGTATTCATGAATTTAAAACTACAGAAATGAAAGAACTGGTTATACGGATTTGTTAAGTTTACCCATCTTGAATGATTAACCAATCATCACTTCAAAAGAATAAGCCATTTCATGCCACATAAAATGTTAACTTACAGATATAAATTCTAAATTTCTATACTTTGATTCTGACGCAAACAATGGCATTGCTTTTATTCACATGATAGCGTCATTACGTTATTTTGAAACAGGAGATATGAACAAGGCAAGCCTCGCTGGGATTCAAACCCTGTGTCTCTCGAATACGCGTCGAGTATGCTTCCAGTTACACCCCAAAGGCAGGCGGAAAGGAGTGAAAAAATACCTTTTACACTTCAGGAAGACTATTAGCATTACCATTAACAACTTATTAATAATTTTTACTTTGCCCTTGGAGAAGAGGGACTAATATCTGATGGCTCTCGAAACCAATAGAGTTTTATTCAGAATCTATGCCAATATTATAACTCTTCCGGGCCTTTCAGAATTCTAAAGAATTGTTTTATCTTTATTGTGCCACTAAGAAGGTTCATGAATGTCTGTTGATTAACAAAAAATATCGATGCCTATGTCATTGGGACGAAACCAGTGGTTCTCAGTCTGTTTTGCCCCATACAGCCCTTTCACTATCGCTAGAAGATAATTCCCCCCCTCCTCCTTTCCCAAACTAGAAAAATACTTATACATATATTTAACACTTTTAATAAAAGTAGTTTGTTATATTCATAAGCTGAAACTAAATACTAGAGCTAAATAAAAGGGTGATCGCATCCACATCGCCGAAACTATGAAATCTCCCTCCGAGTTTAGAATCCCTGGTCTAAGCTTATACGCACTTAAATAAATAGTATAGTCCACGAAAATCGTGAATATTTTAGAAGACTTTTTGAAAAATCATTATAATCTCCCTTGCTGTTTAATTTAATTGCAGTTATACTGCCACCATAATTTATGTTTCTTAATTATGGTCAAAGTTAGTGAAACTGAAAATTTACCTTTACATTAGACATGTTACAGTTTATGTAGCTGGCCACGAGAGGGCACAGTTGTTTTTCTATTTTTAGCTCGTTATATTTTTCTTGCTGCATTGCGAAGTTTTGATATAGATGTAGTGGCAACAAGAGAAACATGATGAACGTTCTTCTGTAAGCATACAATTGTTGTAAATAACTGTAAATAAAGTTTCCGTGTGGTAAAATTGGAAAAGAATTCCAAACGTTGCTGTGGATATTCATCAAGAAAGGTAAGCAAAAAATCACTTATCAAATAAGAAAAAAGGTCATAAATTGCAACAAGACAGATTATAATAGAAAATTGCTTGTAAAAATTATAAAATATTTGCTAAGGTAGGTTTTTCAGTCGAAAACCTATTATACAAGTTATGCCATCCCATTTAAATGAAGAAAGGTATTATTTTCTATCAAGCAATTTATTTTACACATTTCTTGCCTTCAGCGTCACGTATACTGAATATTTTCAGCACGTTTATAAGGAAATGCAAGGCTTTTCTTTGCATGTGTTAGGCAGTGCTTAGGCACATACAGTTAGCAACCGGAAAGTCTAGAGTTCGATTTTTTGCGAGGACACAGCTTATATTTCAAGATTACTGCTTATAAAGAACTGAGCACTCTGTATGTTTATAGTTTTATCTAATCGTACAGAGTATTACCTGTTTTGAAGAGGCAATAACTATATAAAAGTTAAACTCAAAAGAACAAAAAGCGAAAAATATTTCTAAAAGCTGCTTTCAGTACTTTCGCATGTTTCAGGATTATAACTGAATGTGAAAAGCATAATAAAGTCTAAAGTTATTTTTCCTTTAAGGAGGGTAATAATTTTGAAATAAAAATACTATATAAAAATGAAACCATCATAATATAACCTCAATACCTTCAAATATAAAAATGAGGAGACCCATAATGAATATTTATGTCAATCTATGTCATATCTGTGGATTGTTTTCGATTGTAGAGTATTTTAAAACATTTGCCATCCTCAATATCGATTCGTTTGCCTTTCACGTATTTGATAGATAATTCAATTTCTGTAGATAAAAAGGATTCGTATTTCATCAGCTAGAAACAAGACACTTTCTTAATTGTATTTATTACTCTAAGAAGTTACCGAATGAAAGTTAGACAGCATTTCGAAAATGCTAATTCCCTTCTTTTAAACACTGTCTCTCTATCATCAGAATCCTAACATTTGCTGTCTAAAAGCTAAGGCTTTTTTTAAAAATAAAATCCACACCTATAGTTTGTGTTCTTCCTATACGTAATGTGATTACGAATTTGTATCCTTCAGAACGTTCTCTATGAAGACATCGCTCTCCTCAGAAACATAGCCCCTAATGCATTTTGACAGAGTTCAATAAAATCAATCTAACCTGTAATTCCAGTATGTGGATTCTTCCCAATTAAAAAATTCGAGCTCTACTACGATAGGAACGAAAGCTAACAATTTAAGAGAACGGTTTAATCCTCAATAATAATTTATGCTCGCAAGTCTTTGAAAAACTGAAAGTTTAGTATTATTATCAAATATACGTTCTTTTAGTTCGAAATATTGCATTAAAAGACATGCACATCATATTGTTGTACATACTACACCAATGAATTTGGGATTTTAAATGAGAGATTTGTAACAGGCAACATATTATTTCATCAAATGCTATGTTTAAAATTATTGTTTCGAAATGGAATATGAAATAATATTATTAAAGTGACAAATAAGTTTTCTTTTCTTTATCCGAG